TTCTTCAATTTAGTGACTTCTTCTGGGATATTTGAAAATCACAAGATGAGCTATGAGTTGATTTTTTGTTCCTCTAATTGATACATGACAGGATAAGATGTAGTTCTCATGTGGTTGACTAAAAATAAGCTGCCTATAGAAAATGAAGACTACTCATTTTACTCCAGTTCCCAGAAGCAAATGACGTAGAGCTCCTTGTTGCATTACATCAACCATAAAGTTCACTTGAGCGATCAATTCCCCCGTTTCACAGAAACAACATGACGCAACCATATCCTTTTTAAATTATGAGCAGAAATATCAAGATACAAGAACTTGATAGCATAGTCAATTGATTACCCGATTTTACAAAACAAGAAGATGCAAAAATAGACCTTCTTGTGTTTTGAGCAGAAACATTAAAGTGAAGCCATTCAGAACACTAAAAAACTTTAGTAACAATAATAAAAAGGAGAAGAGAAAAAACAGAAAAATAACAACAAAATTGACAAATAGACAATGTTGATAGCAACAACAGAAAAAATGATTAGATGGCATGCTTCAACTTACATTTTGCATACAAGCAATCCATCATTCCTTTCTCCAAATCCAACTGAATAGAAAGTTTAAAACCAACAAGGAAATCAGTATTTCACTCAATATGTCCTCACAAAGGCAATGATCCTATCTCATCTGTTATGCAAAAGCAAAGTTCCCCTCCACTCCACCCCACAATAAAATGTGGCCGGTGGGAACCATTGTCTTTCAACAAAATTAAGACCAAATATAACTGTAGATTAACCTACTTTTGTGGACATATTTTACAATCTCTGCTACGTTTCATGCTAATATCTTAACTAAATTAACTACCATTTTAGGCTCTTAGATAAGAAAGAAGAAAACTAAACTATATAAACACGTGTATAGTTTCATCCATGTATCAACCCACATTTTAGCACCCTTCCAAAAGAAATCCTTTTTTACAAAAGATTCACTATAAATGATAGGGCAAAGCACCACAATCACAGCACCAAATACAAAATCATAAAAATGGTTATCTTCTGATTAAAGCATTACATCTCCTTTAACAAATATCATCAAGCGAAGACTTGTCATATACAACACCAAGAACATATGCAACTAAAATCCAGAGCACTCACTTTATTTTGAATAGAGAAATTGATAAAATTAGTATCGACCAATATCCTGTACGGCGGACCCAATGCAGTATTGTGCTTGAAGAAAAGTGCAGATGAAACATTTGGTCTGCATCACACAATCAACAACTCTCACTCAATCAATACACAAACAGTGACTTAATGAAAAATATATCCCAAAAAAGGCAAAATCTTTGAACATAATCCTCTAATTAACAGTCCCTATTCCTCATCTTAGAACAAGAGTTGGATCCCAACCATCCACATTCCCCTCCCCTCTTCATCCTTCCATCCCCTCCCCTCTTCCAAAAAGTAAAACTATACAAGAATAATTCTTCGAATCAAACAAAACCCACCACTAAAATCCTTCTTCATTGCATCAGAATGATTGTTCTATTCCAGCCTTCCCTCCCCTTCCCTGCCCTCTTAAAAGAATTATTTACAAAATAAAAAAAATTGAACTAAAAAAATGGAGTAAAGGGGTAATGCATACACGTTTCTGGGAAGCTTCTCCTTAGTCAAATCTTTCTTGTTAGGGTTCAAAACCTCCTCTTTATGCCTGAGCATAAAGAAAATTTCAATTCATGAGCAAATTTATACCAAAAAAAAAAAGCTGACCAATTGTGAATTTAGATACATAAAAGGAGCAAAAAGCTGAGCTGAGAGCTTACTGTTTAATGGCTTTGGAGGTGACCATTTTCTTCATCACGGCGAATTCGGTGCCTTCTTAGCTTTCCCCATTTTTTCCCAGTTTTCTTGGTTCGGCGATTGATTCAACGCCGGAAAAAACCACTCCAGCGGTGGAACCTGCAAAACCCCAAAACCCTTTTGATTCTGCAAAGATGCGGTTGGCGGTTGGGTTGGGTAAGGCATTGATGGGCGGTTTCCGGTTCGACCATCCGGGTCTTTTACTCGGTTCGACCATTGGGCCTTTTGTCTGATTTTGACTTTTCATAAAGTTTCATGTGATTCCACACACCAACTGTTGCTTATTACAGGTAGAGTTGTTAAACCAAACGAGTAGCTCGAAAACTCATTAGAGCTCTGCTCGATAAGTCTCGAGCTCGACTCGTTAATTTCAATTAATGAGTCGCCCTCGACCTTAAAATATACTCGTTTAGTTATCGAGCTGAGTAAGCTCAAATTCCCTTCTTTATCGAGTAGCTTGATTGAGCTTGACAAAGAAGGGCATTTTTGTCATTTTAGCAGTTAAAGAGCAGAAATTTGGACTAGGGTTCGATACTTCGATTGCATCGTTTCATTCTTCTTCTCCGCCTCTGCCTCTCCGCCGCACCCCACAGCCAACAACTTCCCTCTCCGCCGCAACCCACAGCCAGCAATACTCCAACAAAGCAACATTCCTACTTTCCACACAATCGTTGGCCTTCCTGCTTTCCACCAAAATCAACTAGTCCACCAGCATCTCTGTTTTCTTCCATTAACAACCGGTCCACTGCCACGCCCAAAATCAGTCATCTCCAGTTAATCTTTGCTCTCTGGCCTCCACCAAAAATCACCTCAAGCAACCATTGACCAGTCCAATTTGACTGGTTTCTCTAATCCATCGTGATTTCTGGTAAGTGTTGTCTCTTTTCGTAGGTAAATTATCCTAACATGACAAGAATTCCCTTATGATAGGAACCTAATCCTCATATGTTACTACCAGAGCAACTCTTATCTTTGGGATCTGCAAGTAGTAACAAACTTCTTGTTATTGTTTTATATAAATTACAATAATCAAATCATTTGATGATATAGAAAGATAGAACTTTCGGCCCCAAAAAAATAATAATAATAATGGACTTTGATGAGTTTTCTTGTCATGATAAATAAAGAGTAAAATAGATGCATAGAAAATATGTAATTACAGCAGTACTGGAGTTTTATTTTTTCCTGAGCCATGCTGGTAATAAAGTTGCTAGCTGGAACTTTTGGCCCTTGCGATTGGGCTAGAGCCACATTTTTGGCCTCCTTAGTAGGTCTTATCCACAAAGCTTAAAACTCTTCCTCAGTCAATGGATTTTGTTGATTACGGATTTTAGCTGTGTGATGTTTGATTATTTATCAGATTAATTCTTTGTCTACTAGAATTCATAAGCGTTCTATGGTAACCATTCAGATAATGTGCACTGTATTTTGTTAGGGATTCAATGATGAGGGTCTTTCCAAACGAATGTAGTCATATATAATTCCCTGGAAAGGACTGCTGCTTTTTGCTTGTGTCAAAAAAATAGTATTATCCCCTTTCAAGAGTTCAGAACCTGCTATCAATATTAAACAGCCAATATAGTGTTTGCTTATTTTTCATGTTATTACACGGCCTTGTGCGAGGGAGGGAGGGAGCAGTCCAACTTTCAACTTTTCTCCCTTTTGGCTTTCCCAGATGTTGACCACCCTGATTGAGTTTGATTCGGATTAACTTGAGCAAAGAACTAGTCTTTCTTATAGTTACTGATAGTAAATAAGTAATAGTTTTTGTTATCTAGCACTTTATCTGATAGTAGAAGTTTTTGTTAACTTTCAGAATGCACTGCATTAAGTGGTTGAGTTATTAAATATCATATGGACTTGACTGCATATGTTCCTGCATATGTTCCTTATGGACTTGACTCAAGTATATTTTCCCTTTTAAATAATAGGTATGTACAGTCCTCCATTTCATTCACACCAAGGATCGTTAACAAGTCCTATTATGGAGGTTGGAAATGAAACTGTAGATCAAGAACTTGAGGTGGAGTCTAATGCTGATGAGATGAGCGAAAAAGAGCTGGACTTAGATAACTTAGAGCAGCAGAATGATAGAGCAGCATAATGAAGGAGCAGAAACAGGGGAAAAAGGTCCTGTTGAAGGAGCAAATCTGTTTGAAAAAAAACAACGGAAAAAGAAGTCAACAATATGAAAGAATATGACGGTAGTAAAATAGCTTGATGGAACATTGAAAGTGCAGTGCAATCGCTGCAAAGAACTATTTGCCAAAAGCCCATCTGGAGCTACTTCTCAACACAAGCGTCATCTCAAAAATTGTCTATAAAAGAGGTTGGCTGTTGGGGAGGAAAATCAAAAGAGGCAGCAAATGTTATCCTTTACCGAAGGACCCTCGGATGGTATAACTTTTATAACTAATTTCTCCTATGATCATGCTAAAGTACGAGAGTTAGCAACTCATATGGTTCTTATACATGAGTATCCTTTCTCTATGTTGGACCATGTTGTTTTTAACAAGTTCATGAAAGTTGCATCTCTATTTTATAAAAAGATTAACCGACAAACAGTAAAGGAAGATTGTGTGACTACTTACATGCCTGAAAAGAAAAGGCTGAGAAATATATTAAAATGTGCCAATAGGGTTAGTATAACCACAGATTTGTGGAATTCCGGTAAAAAAATTCAATACATAGTTGTGACAGGGCATTTTGTTAATAGTGATTGGGTGTTGCAAAAACGGGTTCTAAATTTTTGTAATGTTCCACCTCCTCACACAAGAGTAATTATTGCTGATGCTTTAAGTAGGTGTTTTTTTTGAGTGAGGGATTGAGAATAAGGTTTCTACTATAACTGTGGACAATGCTTCATATAATGATGTATGCATTAGGAGACTTAAAGAGGATTTCTCTCTAAGAAAAAGGTTGAGCATTGGAGGAAAAATTTTTCATGTTAGGTGTTGTGCCCATATACTTAATTTGCTTGTTCAAGATGGGTTTAATCAAATTGTTGATGTGATTGATGTTGTTCGAGAGGGGATTAAATATTTGAAAAATTTAGAGTCTCGTCTCAATGACTTTGCCAAAATAAAAAAACAGCTTCAATTGCCTTCTAAAAAGCTCATTTTGGACTGCCCAACTAGGTAGAACAACACTTATTTGATGTTGGCTTCAGCTCTAGAGTTTAGGGATGTATTTCCCAGGTATGGGTACATTGATCCTGGGTTTCACTATGTCCCAAGTGAGTACAAGTGGATGAAAGTTGAAGAAGTATGTAAATTTTTGGGTATTTTTTATGAGATCACCAATGTTATTTCTGGAATCGATTACCCAACAGCTAACCTTTTTCTTGTAGACTTGTATAGGATTAAAGAGCTATTAAATGAAAAAGCTCTCAATTTTTCTGATCATATTAGGTTTATGACCAAGAGTATGGCACAAAAATTTGACAAGTGTTGGGGTGAAAGCAATATCTTGATGTCTTTGGGTGCTATTCTTGATCTGAGGTACAAAATGGTCCTTGTTAATCATACTTTCTCAGTTATTTATGGAGAGGATGCAGCCCCTAGGTACATTGATGAGATTATATGCATTCTTTATGACCTCTATAATGAATATGTGGATGCTCACATCTCATCTCATAGTGAGGAACCACAAAGGGAAGCTGGAAAACGAAAACATGCAGAAATTACAAGTAAATCTACCCAAGGGGTTGCTAAAAAGCTTGGAGTTAATGTTCTAACTGGAAAAGAAAAATTTCAGATGATTGTTAATGAAATTGACAAGGCTCCCCCTGAAAAATCATATTTAGATGTCTATTTGGAAGAGAGCATGTATGTTTGTGATGCAAATGCAAATCTTGATGTCTTGGGTTGGTGGAAAGGGGAAAGGTGGAGGTTTCCTATATTGTCAAGATTGGCAAGTGATGCACTCGCTATTCCAGTTACAACCGTGGCGTCCGAATCTACTTTCAGTGTTGATGGTAGAATAATAGATGATAGGCGTGCTTCTATGTTTGTTGAAACTGTGCAAATGCTGCTTTGTGGGAATGATTGGATCTGCAATCTTCATGGGTTAAAAAACAAGTCTCGTGTAAGTAAAATATTTCTTCTACTAGTTGTTTATTTTGGCAGCTCATTTTATCTTGTTATGAGTTGTAACTTTCCTGTTTTCGTTTTGTAGGAACCATTCGATGTTTTCGAATCATCTACAATTGAAAATTTTGATCTTTCGGACATTTGAAGGCTGTTTTCTGGAATATGTGATGCTGCTTCTTGTGATTTGTGAAGCTGGAGTTGTGAAGCGGTACTTTTTCTTATGATTTCTAAAGGGGTTGCTGTACTTTTTCTTGTGATTTCTGAAGTTCGACAATTTTTTAGCTGTGTAGCAGTGTTTTACATAGTTATTTGGCTGCAGTTTGTGCGTTTATTTGGCTGGACAAAACCTGTTATGGTATATTGGCTCTTATCGATGTTGTCTCGTATGAAATTAGGTTGTAGTTTGTGTATTTGTTGACTTTTATTTCTAGAGTTTGTGTTGTATGGATGTTATGGTCTTATATGTTGTCTCGGATGAAATGTGATTAGAGTTTGTAAATTCTTGAATGTGAGTGGCATTGGTTGTCAATCCTATCAATTTTTGTTGATTTTGGATAGCCTAACTCTAGCCAATCATTACCATCCGTAGCCAAATATTTCGTTTATTAGGTTGAATTAGCCTAACTCCAACCAATGCAATCCTTCATGGTATTAGGTTGGAGTTTGTGTATCTGTATTGAATGGAATTATGTTGGACTTCGTATTTGTTGAGTGCTGGACAAATTTTTGGATCTATTGAATGGAATTATACTGGAGCAGGACTTCGTAATAACTAATTGCTGGACAAATATTTCGAAATCGATCCTCGAGCTCGGACAGATATTTCAAGCTCGAGCTCTAGTTCGTTCGAGCCTGGCTCGTTTGTGATAAACGAGTCGAGCTCGAGCTCGAGTTCGAGTCACATTTCCATTTTTCAAGTCGAGTTCGAGTGTATATTATGGCTCATCCGCGCGATCGAGCGAGCTCGAGCCTGGCTCGAGTTCTTCACGAGTCGAGCTCGGCGTTCAGATACTCGGCTCGACTAACAGTTTACAGGTAGCTATTAAACACAGAATATGGTGAGCATTTTTTTACATCCAGGGGAATCAATTGTAAGTTTATATTCTATTTTCATGTATAAGATTTTAACTATAAATTTAGATTATGTATTATGCATTAAAACTTGTTCATTAGCGTACAAATGCATGTAAGAATTCAAACTTGAGAGATGTTGATATACTTTTTTCTTTTTAACTTTTGATTTGGATAACAAATTTTGCAAACAACATATGAATCCCTATTCGCTACAATTATTTAAACTAGAGTATATAGCAGAAAATGGTCATTCAATTATTTAAAATCGTACCATTTGGTCACCAAACATTTTTTAATCAAAAAGGCCATTAAACACGTGAAAGTATATATTTTTAAGTCAGTTTGTTAAATTCTAGTATTAAGATAGCTAGAAATGCATCCGCTTGAATAGTACACTTGGATTTTAGGGGCAAAAATGCCTCACAATCTTTGATGCATATTTAAAAAACATAAGGATTTTTAAAGTTATCAAACTTTTCTAAACCTCTGTTTGGATCCTTCAGTTTTTCAAAGGTACTCTAAAAAGTAGTCTAATTTTTTTAAATTTTCAAAAAATATCCCAAAATATATTTTAAAAACTCCACTACTCTTAAATATTCCAAAATATTTTCTAAAAATATCCCAAAATATACTCTAAAAACTCTGCTACAGTAAAATTTTTCAAAGATATCCTAAAAAACAGCTAATTCAAATGGACCCTCTTTCTAGATATCAATCAAGATTTCTAAAACAGTGTTAAAGATTGCAATCATAATCTGAAGAGAATAGATAAAGTTTGGAAACTGAGAAGGTTCTTCATTTTTTTCAAATGCGTTTTAAAAGATTATGAGATACTTTTACGATTGAAAAATTAAGCGCACTGATTATGTGATTGCCATTTCGACTATCTAAACATCAAAAGTTAATGGAATAACAAACAAATGTATACTTTTATGAGTTAAGTGCTCTTTTTGGCAAAAAAAAAAGAAAGAAAATTTTGGCGACTAAATGATGAAATGTTAAATAGTCACATGTCCCTTTTTGTCATTTGCTTTTTAAATCACTAAACTATCATTGTCACTCGTCACCTCTTTAAATAAAATTTGAGATAAATTAAATTTTAGTATATTAGAATATGTAATGTATTTTATTTTTATAAAATTTACCCAAAAAAATCTAATATATTTTGGTTATATTTTTATATTTCAAATTTGTGTCACTCTCGTGACAAGTACTTGCTTTTCTTTTACACTCATTTTGGGCCGCTAGTCAAGTCATTGACAAAACTGCATGGGCCACGCTCGGGCGAGAACGGATAGAGGCCTCGGTTAGTAGAACTTTCTTCAGATCCTTTTCTCAAGCTGATAAATAGACCATTTTCTTGGGTTTTTTTTTTCATAGAGAAACATTTCTCGCACCGCTGCTGCTTCTTCTTCTTCTTCTTCTCGTTCAATCTGTAAGTTTTGATCTTTGCAGAAACTGGGTCTTTTGGTATTCATTTAGATTTAGCATTTTTTAATGTTTTTCCCCTTTTTCTAATGGAGAGCAATATATAATATGTTGTTTTAATTTTTTTTTGGGTGGTTAATTGGTTAAAGCTCTCAAAGGATTCTTACATTTGAGATCTGGGTTGTAAGGTTTTTCAGTTTCTAGGATTTAGGTACCTTATTCGACTGTTTCAATTTGTTGTCCGTGTTTTCAATTTTCAATATTTTTCCCTTAATTTCCACTTTTTTAAGTCATAGCTACTCTTTTTTTTTATTGTTATTTTATTAACAGAAAAATCTGTTTTCTGCTTTTCTCGAGTTTGCTCTGAACAAAGTTATGATTTTGTTGTTTTCTTTCCTTGGTGACTTTGTATTTTTGTTTTATACGTGCTTTTTTTTAAAAAAAAAAAAAAAATTTCTTCAAGATCTGCATTGCACACATTGAATGAACTTGTGAAATTACAGCTGTTATTAGTTTAATGATATAGCCATTGCTGGCACATCATATAAGCAAAGGGCATTTGGTTGATTGTTTATTTGAAATTACTCTGATCATTAAGAGTTGTTAATTCTTTCGGATTTGTAGCCTCTTTGTTCTGCCTGCTGATACTGGAGTTTGTTTTAATGTTGTGTGTGCAAATCCAGAATAGAGACTTGTATTATTTTTGTAGTAATAGTTACAACGATTATCATGGCCTTGAGTTACCTTTTCAAGAACTTGTTGATAAAACTTTTCTCATTGGTTGTATTCATTTTGCTTTTATCCATGAACCTTTTCACGATATTGCTTGACTGTTCAATAAATAAATGAACTTTTACTAGCTAACGCACGAATGTGATAGGGACCTCAACCTGCACATTGTGTAGTACTCCCACCACCCCCTGCTATGCTCACTCCTTCCAATCTCAATACCACGTATACCACACATAATAAATATCCTAGGCCTTTCCCCAAATCACCCAAACCAGACAGTAAAGTTCTCACTTTCATTAGTCAATGATGTTTGTTTAATAGTCTTCCTTTCTCAGGACCCAATTCAGTTACTCTTATTTTTCTTATTGTGTTTTTGGTGTATAATAGAAAAAAATTGATCGATGAATTTGCCATTTGAATTTTTCTTTTTCCCCAAATACTAACTTTACTCATCCGTCCGGACATCTGATTGTTGGTTTTCCCCTTTTAGATAATACATACACCATCAGGTTGAATAGTACTAAGGGTACGCAGTAGCAGTAATAGTGCCAGTAGAGAGACATCAGATATGGCTACAAAAAAGAGCGTTGGATCACTCAAGGAAGCTGATCTGAAGGGGAAGAGGGTGTTTGTGAGAGTGGATCTGAACGTTCCTTTGGATGACAACTTCAACATCACCGATGACACCAGGATCCGTGCCGCTGTCCCAACCATTAAATACTTGATCGGCTACGGTGCTAAAGTCATCCTATCTTCTCACCTTGTATGTATCTCTATCTAGTAGTATTCAGCACTCGACATTACCTTGTGAACATTTTGGAGCTATTTGATGGATGTTCTTGCCTGATTTCCCAATTCTTTCATGTTACTCTGCATTCAGATCAGTTAATACTAGATCCATCTCAATTCAATTCATTTGATGTGTATATTCTTTTTATGATTATGCAAATGTGTCTGTGTTTGATAAATCAAGTTTAAGCCAAAATCGGTGTTCAAACTGATGAGCATTCCTTTTTTCCATCAAGTTTCAGTTCTTTTGTAAATTCTGGTATTTTTCTTGTTTCTGATTGTTTTTCGTAGTGCAATCTATACCTTTAAACATATAAAACTTGTTGATCAATGTGAACGGCCGAAATGAACTTGGTTTTCCCACCCAATCTTGAGATTACCTCGCATAAATTACTCTAGGGACAAGGATTATGTGGGAGCCGTATTATTCACTGTGTATCCTTAGAGTTTTGGGTCTATTTGGATTTTGCTTATGAATTGCTGCTGTTTTGATCTTGTAATTGTCAGCTTTTGGTTTTGTAGCAAATGAAATGATGTATTTTTCTGATATGGGTCTCAGGGACGTCCAAAAGGTGTCACCCCAAAGTACAGCTTGAAGCCCCTTGTTGGCAGGCTCTCTGAACTCCTTGGTGTTGAGGTATGCTGTTAAGTGCACTTCCAATTTTTTTTCTTTCTTGCTTAATTTTCAAAGGCTAAGAGGCTGTTCACTCACATTTTATATCTGTACTCAATAGGTCAAGATGGCGGATGATTGTATTGGTGAACAAGTTGAGAAATTGGTGGCTACCTTGCCAGAAGGAGGTGTTTTGCTCCTGGAGAATGTGAGATTCTACAAAGAAGAAGAGAAGAATGATCCCGAATTTGCAAAGAAGTTGGCTTCTCTTGCAGACTTGTATGTTAACGATGCTTTTGGAACTGCCCATAGAGCCCATGCTTCAACTGAAGGAGTAGCCAAATACTTGAAGCCTGCTGTTGCCGGATTTCTGATGCAGAAGGTTAGTTTTCACTTTGGTAACTCTTCACTTTCTTCATGGGCATGCGCAATTTGCATAGTAAATTTCATCCTGTCATCCCCTCTTCAGGAGCTTGATTATCTCGTTGGAGCTGTGGCAAATCCCAAGA